ACATTATTAATGTAATTAATTTTATGAAACAAATCGAAAAAGGAAATTCTGCAATAAATGCTTTCTAAATTTTAGCATTTTCTTTTTTGGCAGATTTGTTAATACCTGATAACTTTTCGGCTAACTCTTCGCAGATGAAAACATTAAAATGCTTCTTTCTTTTGTACACAACTCTTCATTACCCATGATTTAAATTGTTTAAATATGAAGAATTAAAACACCCCAACACCTTAGTTACTATAAAAAAAATAAGGAATTCTTTGACGAATGCACCTTAAATAGTATAAGAATAAAAAAAAAGTAATAATAAATATTAATTTTAAATTCAAGGATAAAAACATCAATTTCATAAAAATTAAAGCTTTCCATTTGACGTTTCACACTTCACATAATTAAATCATATCTTCCATTATGGCTGAAAAAATCACACCAGCACATCCAACCAAAACTCCAAACTTCCTTTCACTTTATTTTTTACAATCTATTAATAATTATATGCATGCATAGACATATTTTTCAATTTAAGTGAAAAAATATAGTCTATAAATAAATCTTTTTTTTTAACACAGCACAAAACAAAACAATTTTTTCCATGCATAATAATATGAAATTACTAGATCTACATTTATTTAACAAAATATTTACATAAGAAAACTTTTTATCAATTAAAGGAACATTAAATCTGCTTGAATAAGGAAAATTATTTTAATGGAAGCAAGATAATGTATTAGCCTGGTGCTATTACTTTTATACCATATGTTCAATATACATTAGTAATAATCTACAGCATTTATTCTTTTTCTCATCCGTTAAATCCACAGCTTAGTTGGAACAATTATTATTTTTTTAAATACCTCAATTGTTCAATTCAAAATAGTTGTTAAAACCAGAATTATTAAAACAAAACACTATAAGAAAGACAAAGCAAATGATTTTTCAACATTAAATTGTTCAATAAACTCAAAAGCCATAAATAAAAAAAAACTAACCTAAATTTAAAACAAATTTCGTTTTTTTCTTTTCAAGATAAAAAAAATGTTTACTTTGAAACAAAAAATGTGTAATATAAATGATAAATATGTTTAAAAGCTGTATTTTTTGTTTTAATATAGCCATGCCAATTTTATCACATTTGGTTTCTAAAGGTTTTAAATTTATTTTTTTCCCCTCTAATTTTGATTGTCTAAGATCAGACATTGAATTTTTTATTTATATTTTAAATGGAAGAATATAACTGATAAACTAGTTTGATTATTTATTTTGTTTTCAAATCTCTAACCAGATTTCCACATAATTCAGCAGTTTAATTTGACAGAAACAAAACCTGTAGGCTATTATGACAACACCTGATTGGTTTCCTAGAATATCATTTAAATTTTTAAAAATCTATATTTAAATATCAAAAGTAAATACAATTTTGAGAGAAGGTTCAGTAAAATTAATTGAGATATGTAACTAAGCTGAGTATCTTGGTCAGTGTTAAAGCAAACTAGCCCAAACTCTATTTTTTAGACTACTAATCAGTATATTGGCTGTATGGATGAGAAAAGTATAACTAAGAAATAGTTGTAGATTTTATTTTTAAAATATTTTTCTTGTTAACTTTAAAAAAACAAATATTACAAAATATAGTAAATTTTGTTCCAAATAGCTTAAGTGACTAAAATTATTATTTTGGTCTTCTAATATAAAGTGGATTTCACAGACAACTCTATGATAACAGTTTCTAACACTTGTTCAAATTTTAGAACAGTGACGATACCTTCCCTCAATGTCTATATCTTCTGCTGGCTCTCAATGCAATTACACGAGGTAAATGAAAAAAATATCTGGAATATTGTTACACAAGTTAAAAAAAAAAATTTTTAAGAAAACAATACAAACAGAGCAGAATTTTATTGTGGACTTTATAATACGTTGAATACAAGAACATTATGTAGTTCTTATCTGTTATGTGGCATCAAACAACCTTTGTTAAGTATTCATACGTAGGATTCATTTTATTAATACATACTTTAATTGGAAATAGAGACTATTTTACATGCCAGTGCATGATATTGCCTTGCTGCTATAATTGAATCTTCAAACAAAAAAAGGTAGTGTTTAGCTGACATAATAGATTTTAAATATTTCATGCTAATTTAATTATTTATATAGAAGCCTTTTCATAATCCCACTCTTTTAATTAACCTTGATCATGCCCCCATCCCCATTGTTACCCCCTTGCTCATTTACCATCTATCAATTAATCCTGTCAAAAAAAAAAACAACCTGCAGTAGGAAATTATCCCCTGACAATTTAGAGAGTTGGATAGGGTTAGGATAGGGATAGGGATATAGATAATAGGTTTTTAAGAGGATGAGGGGGGGGGGGGAGAGTAATTTGATATGGGGGTAATGACAGAGAGGGATGATGACTGGGGTGTAATGTCCTAGAGGTCGTTTACCTTCTCACCATATGCCCAAAATCTCAAATTGTACTCCATATCCTAACATCCTCTAATGAGACTAAATTATTGCAAACAACCTTAGACCCCCTTTTTAAAAAACAAACAAAATGCAATCATACAGTAAGAAAAATAATATATAAATAACTGTTTATATTCTAAACAGGTCAATTGAACTCTATCCTAACTATCACATCCTTATTGGATGCTATACAATTCTATCCTAAATAGTCTGGTTAGGGTATTTAAAACTTTATCCTAACTATAACATCCTTAGTGGATGCTATACAATTCTATCCTAAACAGTCTGGTTAGGGTAATTAAACTCTATCCTAACTATAACATCCTTAATGGATGCTATACAATTCTATCCTAAACAGTCTGGTTAAGGTAATCAAACTCTATCCTAACTCTAATGCCCAAAACGGATGCTCTACAATGGCTGCCTGACTGCACTTAACAGAAAAGAACATTCTAGTCTTCCTCACACACTCAAGCATAATACAGCAGTGTTTGTGGATTTAAAAAATTGGACATCTTGATATTCAGTTGCCATATGTCATTGGCATACAGATGACACATGTCATCAAACCACTTTTAAAATTGGGATAAAGAATATATGTACATATATAAGTTATTAAAATAAAAATCATACCTAATTTGAATATACAAAACTGATTATTTCAAGTGATTTTTATTCTTTGATTTATACCATTACCTGAATAAGAGTTTTAGAACTTAGGCTAGGGTTAGAATGAAAAATCTATTGAATTCTATTTACAATAACGTTTTCCTTAACTTGAGTAATTTATATACTAAATCGATTTCAAAAAAATCTACAATAAAAATAAAGAGAACAAATCTAGGAATAGAGAAATTTTCTGTTTTCCAGTTTGAGTTTTTGTTATTCTGATTACAGTTTTTAACAGGTTCTGTTGAATTATTCATCAAACCTAAAAATATTTTGGCATTATTCCAATTTAGAAATTTTCTTTATGCTTTTTGAATAAATTAAAATTGTCTTCTGTTATCAGAAACTGAGATAAATTAAATGTTTACATTTATACTAAGAAATATGAAAGAAAATGTTTTTTCTGATTAAATAAACATTAATGAGCTTAATAATTAGTTTGGATTTTCTTATGTACACAAATTTAAAATAGTGATACCATGAAGACAAAGTATTTCTTTTGCATATAAACACAATTTTTTTAATGAAAAAAAAAAAGTTGAAAACTAAGTGATTACAAAAAAATAGTGGAAAGGTTACAAACATGATTAAAAATTAGGAGTAGATATTTGTAGAAAAAATTTGTTTTGGTGTTGGTATGTTTGGATGTGGACACTTTACTTCATTAATTAGTTTTTATATAAATGGGATTTTTATGTGTCCTGCTTTAAGAATGCACACTTTAAGTTTCACTACCTTCTTTGCATACACATTTTTAATGGTTGGCTGCATGAATTTGCACAAAAAGCAGTTAAAGTATATATGTATAGGGCCTATATATATCTGCCTGCTCAAATATTATCTGCTCATAGTTACTATGAGAGGCTGTTAAATTTGCTGTAGTAGATTATTTTTTCTATAAGATGCTGATTTTTTTTTTGTATAAGATAGTAAAATTGCAAAGGTGCCTATTTCATCAACACTTTTTCAGCTGGTGTCCTAAAAATTATGTTTAAAAATCCAAAATGTATCTAATGTTTTCAACATTTGATGAGTGTTTGTATGTCAAGCTTGACATACAAACACCCCATATATCCACCAATGACCATATGCCAGATACTGTCAGACATTGTGAAAAAATATGATATTAAACATAAGTAATTTCCCCTTCGTATTTTTGAAACAGTATTTTGTATTTTATTTAATACTTTTTTGTTTTTATTGATCTTGTAATGTTCCCTTTTGTACCTAAAGTAGAGTTCACCTACTTCTGCAAAGTTTCTTCCAGGCATCGCTTCAGGGGGGGGGGGGCGCTCCCCCCCACCGAAGAAAGTCCTACTGCGCCCCCGAATGAAGAAATGGAATTTATTAGAATATATATACTTTTGACAATGTCCGCCCCCAGGAATGTTGTCCCCCCCCCCCCCCCCCCCCCGAAAATTTTAAGTGCACCCCCGGAGAAAAAAGTCTGGAAGAGACACTGTACTTCTGTGACCTCTGTCTATGAAGGTATTGTGTGATCAGCACTATACCCAGCTGCCTTTACTTTCCCTAAAGTAAAGTACCCATCAGATCTAGATGGACTCAGTGATGTTCCACTGACTTTGGATTCAAAATACAGGCATATAGTATACAGACTTTTAAAAAAATGTTACTTCACTTGGCCTATTCATATTTTCTACAGAGACAACTCTAATTAACTGAACTGTTATAAAAAAAAAAATGAAGCATTCCCCCCCCCCCCCCATTTTCAAACAAACTGAAAAAAAATGGTTTACAATGTATATTATATAACCCTAGTTCTAATGTTGTGTTATAAATAAATTGTTGGGCCTAGAGAGTGTACATTTTACTATACAAAACATTACTACATCTATATAAACTAAATGTTTTGCTTGTTTTTTCCCCCCTACATAACATAATTATAGTGATAGTGCATTCAGTCAATGTAAACATATTTATACGCTTAAACCTATAAAAAGACGCATTCTCTTTCACTTAAGTCCGGACAGGCCTATATTTTAAAATAATCTTTTGAGATATCTAAGGGAGATCACTCTCAAACCACACAGGGGAGAGATCAAAACGAGAGTAGATTTATGATAGTGACGTTCGAACATTGATTCGTTAAATGATGGTGCAGTTTTTTAAAAAAGATTTTCATCAAAGGGAGGCAACTATCAAAAGTTGAAGGTGGTGATGTTAAAGGGAGATAATTTTTTTCTGAGTTTTCCTGGTCTGTTTGTTTAGGAAGGCGGGCTCTAGGTTAAACAAACTTGTTTGGGAAGAAGAAGACTGACGCTGGAAACTTTACAGAAAAACTGCTTCAAATATAAGGGCAGTTTGCTAGTGTGTTTTGTAGGCTGACGAGGTTCCAGTGTCAAACCTTGCAGTTGCAAATACCTGTCTCTGCCCTCTTCCTCCCGATTTAACTTATACATTAAAAATGTATTTTTATATAGATAGGGGTGCCTAGTTAATGTATTAACTAGATCTAGTTAGTGTTATGTGGCTAACGTATTTCTGTTTTTGGGAATTCAAAGCAGTATCCAACCTATTAATTAATTTAGTTGATAATTAATTTAAAACTTAATTGGCACCGGGCGAAGTGTGTGGGTGGTTAGTTTAAGAAAATAAGATCACTCTCTCAACAGGCTAGTTTGTTTTGATAGTCGTGGCGTCGCATGGGGGTGCGGAAGGGGGGCAGTAGTAATTTAGGCAGGTTGCTGGGAAACTATAAGTTAATCAATAGCTTCAAATAACATTTCTTTATATACTCTACGTTCTTTTGTGATTGTTTTGACTTTTATTTAAGCAGCTAAAAACATTCTTGACGTGTTACACTGAATAAAATATGGCAGTATGCAAAGGGTTAAACATGATTGTGTTGTGTTTTATTTCAAATGTAAAAAAAAGTGTTTCTATTCTTCAAGTTGTAACACAAACAACAAAATCAACAGTTCTTAATCAACAAACTTAACACATCAACATTAGAAAAACAAAAAAAAAATTATTAACAGCTGAAAAGACATCAAATAGAAGCCCGTTTCTTTCCCAGATTCTGCCACTGAATGAACGACGCACTGTCCTCAGTGCAGCTGTGATTGTCCTCCTTGGTGGAAGAGGCTTGCATTGGAAGTAGGTGCGAAATCTTCCCGGGTGCCCGAGTCACCGAGTACCTGGGCTTCCCCCGGGAGCGGAGATTGTAACACGAGCACGAACACACCGAAATTAGGTCATTGTACTCGGGGGTTTCCTGCGCGCCGGAAACCACACTTCCGTTGGCCGTGATGACGTCACCGTCCAACCTGACAGCGCCCCTGGCGGCGGCGGCGGCTTCCATTTCTTCCCGTTTTTCGTCGACGGTGTTCATGGTAAGAAAGCGAAGAATGAGGAGGTTCATCGCAGCGGAAATCACAGTCAAACCGAAGAGGATGAATATTAAACAGAATGTCACGTAATGCGGCTGATTGGTCAGCATGTTGTCCCGCTGCAAGGCAACGAAATCGCCGAAACCTATGGTGGTCAGCGTGATGAAACAGTAGTAGAACGAATCGATATACGGCCAGTTCTCGAAGTAGGAAAAAATGGCCGCCCCCGACGTGAGGACGATGGTGGAGAGGTTCATGGCGATGAAGATGAGATGGGTCTGGGAGACCTCGGTGTTCTTCATCCGGAAACATTTCCGGATGTGTTTGACCAGGAACGTGACGAAGGTGTTGAGGCGCTCGCCCACGCTCTGGAACATGACGATACACAAGGGGATGCCGGACAGGGCGTAGAACATGCAGAACACCTTGCCACCTATCGTCTGGGGGGTGCTGTGGCCGTAACCTAGGAGACAGAATAACAAACAATTATTTGTTGCATTTCATAGTGTATACATAAGCATATATATATATATATATATATATATATATATATATATATATATATATATATATATATATATATATATATATATATATATATATATTGCCAATTGATTGAAAACCGACACATAAAAATAGAAAAAGACGGAAGAATCACTATATAGTCTCCTTAAACACACTATAAAACAGATAATCTCTTCTCTTTGTATGTATGTGCAGAGGCGTAGCTAGGGGGGGGCGGGGGGGGGGCGGCCGCCCCGGGCGCCGACCCTATGGGGGCGCCAAAAGGGGTGGGAAAAATTTTTTAAAGCTGATTTTATGCTGCAGTTTTGAATTATAAACTGTCTAAGTTAAGAAATATAATGGCTACACGCATTTACATACTGATTTAACTGTTTTCTATCTTGATTTCTTAATGTAAAACATATACTCTTAAGAAACAGTGACCGGCAAAACCTCTTTGAAGCTTTTCCTAGATGGGGGGGGGGGGGGGCGCTTTTTCGAGACTTAAAACGGAAGAATTTACACTAGATTGTTGAGTCGATAAACGTTACCACTATTAAAAGAAACCAATTGTATTAAAACGTATTGTACGATTGTTGAACTGTAAAATACGTTAGTGACTTTTATCAAGATGGTGCAGGGGGGCGCTTTTAGGCTAAATAAAATAGCAAAATTACACAGGATTCTGAGTAAACAACCTTTAGCTCTCAGAAAGAAACGAATTGTACTGTGCATTGTATAATTGTGTAACATTTTTTAAAAAAAAGTTAGTTACGTTAAAAACCGCTCTACAAACTTTGTCCAAGATGGTTGTGATGAGTGTGTGTGGGGGTGGGGGGGGGGGGCGCTTTTTTCGCTAACAAAAATCGCAAGTATTTGTACTGGATTGGTGAGTAGATAACTCTATTAACACTTAGTAAAGAAACCAAGTGTATTAACGCGTAATGTACAATTTCAATAGCCAGTTTTGTTAAAAAAAAAGACGCGACTAGTTCTTTGTAAGATTCTTACGATTCTCTCAACTTCAACGTGAGAGATCAGATACTTTTGATCAGTGTTTCTTCCAGACTTTTTTCTCCGGGGGGGCACTTGAAATCTTCGGGGGGAGGGGGGAGGCGGTAAACTTTCTTCGGGGGGGGGGGGGCGGACACTGTTAAAAGTATATATTTTCTATATATAAATTATATAAATTTCATTTCGTTCGGGGGGGCGTAAAAATTTTTCCGGGGGGCTTCGCCCCCCCGAAAAGATGCCTGGAAGAAACTGTGTGCGAGAAGGCAGGGCAAATCTGCGAAATCCAAGACTACGAGCTGTTAACATCCGTTGGATTCCAGTTTGTTTTCTCTAGCTTGTTTTGTCATACCATCAACCAATCAACGAAATACCCATGTCGTATTCCAATGTGAACAATAAATATTTCTGATAACTTCTTCTTGTATGTCACTTGTGTGTCCTTAATCTAACAAACTTCGAATCCAATATGTACCATATCACAACAGAGATCGTTCAAAACTAGAACATAAAAGGCTGGTCTAAACATATTAGCGTTAGCTACAAACTACCCTCTAACACAGATCAGGCTTATTTGTTTTTACTGACATTACTAATCTTTCGCAAAAAAAGTTAAACGCATCTTAATGGGAATTAAATTGTCGTAAAGTTTTAAGGAATGAAAATCATACAATGTAATTATTAAACCTTGTCCGGACTGTAGCATACACGCTTACACACACGCTTACACACACAAATACACTCTTACCCACACACAAGCTTATATATAAACACACTATCACACACACATAATTATACACACACACACACACACACACATATATATATATATATATATATATATATATATATATATATATATATATATATATATATATATATAAGCGGGGGGGGGGGGGGCGCCAAATTGAAAGTTCGCCCCGGGCGCCGGGAAGGGTCGCTACGCCTCTGTGTATGTGTGTGTAAGCTTTGGTATGACAAGAATATACATATTTTTGCTGTATGATAAAAAGTATTTTTATAAAAAGATAGTGTGCAATGCGAACACTTATTGAGACCCGCAAAGACAATCTATAAGTAGCTGTTATCAATTTGCTTTATGGCGTATAGGATACAACAACAATTTAAAAATGATTAACCGGAAAAGTACAGCAGAAATCCAGATTAAAAAAAAAAATAGAACTTTCATACAAAGCAAGTTCATCGCTGCTTGTAAAACCCTGACATAATCTCTGGAAAACATCAAGTCGCCTGCTCATGTCGAAACGTCTGCATCATGGGAGACAACTTCAAACCTCACGTTGGGAGTTACGGTTCTTGTCATCCCCCCTTCCCCGCCCCGCCATATATCAAATCAGAGAACTTTTCATCATTTGCCGATCGAAGCTCTATCGCCAGCTAATATCTGTCCATGTATTTTTGCAAATCGATACGTCATGTTTATTACGCTGTATCTTTCTGGACAGTTTTGGAAAGTTTAAAAAAAATAATGTTAGAACTTTCACACTTTAAAACTTTTCTTTTGACAAAACAATTAAGATTTTAACATGGGATATAGGATAGAGAAGTATATACATATATATACATATATATATATATATACATATATATATATATACATATATATATATATATACATTATATATATATATATATATATATATATATATATATGTATATATATATATATATATATATATATATATATATATGTGTGTGTGTGTGTGTGTGTGTGTCTGTATGGAATTGTGTAGGGTTAAGGTAGTGATAACGGTTTTGCCATGACAACGTATCAATGATGACGTTTTCGATGTACGATTCAGCATGCTGTTACGTAATTATATACCAACAACTTAACTTCCGGTTCCGACCCCCACCCCCCATCCACACACACCCTCGTCCTCGTTACACATCAGTTCCGGTCACGTGCCCAGCGTGCATTACCAGGCCGCGTGACATGCCATCGTTCCACGGTGGGACGATGTCACACACTTAAATGACATCTGTGACATTCGGTTTGATTCCTCGGAGCCCCGCTCTAATGGGCTTAATATGCAGGCATGGACGCCCACAAAGTTGGTCACGTGACAACCTCTTCCCCCTCGCCCTACCACTCTACCCCCACACACCCACACACTAGCACTCAGGTGAGTAATATATGGGACGAAACTGCCCAGTCAGCCAAATTCGAAACTGGTAATGCGGCACTGGTAATTAACTGGTAAGTAGTAATACATTAACGCAATTTGACTGGGATGGATGGTATATTAGTACGTGGAATGAGAGTCAGGGATTCTTTCAGAGTTATCTCACTTGGAGGTGGGGTGGGGGTGCACTTGAAACTTCAGAGGGGTTGTTGAAACTTCCAGCGAATGCTGGTCGAAGTAGGCCTATATATTTTAAAAATACCAATGATCTATTGGTGTGCAATTATTTTTTTTCTATGAGACTTTATTCTATTTTAAAAAGTTTAAGTATTTAAAATGGATTAAAAATCATGTCTATATCCCGAGTTGCCATCCCCTGTTGTTTCATAGAAGAATATTCGAGAAAGTTTAGGGGAGATCACTCCCGGTTTTTTCTTTCTTTTATTTCCGCCTCAAACTTGTAATTGACAGCGTCAGTTTGCCTTGCACGTTCGCTTTAGTATTATAGAAATAAGTTAAAATAATCTTTTTGATTTCATTTTAGCCAGGTAGCGTACTACACTGTTTTAGTGTTGCATTATTTTAAAAAGTATAATCGGAAACTGAATCTGGCGCCTCTCAAGGTCACTCTTTCAAAAGAAAATCGACACTTTTTTCTTGAAGTAGGCCTATAGATTTTTTTGAACAGCAGGAATTTTTAAATTCTCTATATATAACGTTAAGTTTTAAATGTATACAATTCAAATCAGTATTTTAAAAAAATATTTATAATGTTTTTAAAACGACACGTAATTCCAAAAGATGGTCGACCTTTGGATTAAATAATTATAAAAGGGGAAGCTACTCGTTTCTACTCTAAATCTGACTTTCTAGACGATACCGAAGCCATTGTGAAAAAGGACTGGTGTAAAGTCCACGCCTCCCCTGTTCAAAAAGGCGTGGAGTTCCCTTTCTGTTCCCAAACTGTTCCCTGGTTCCCTTGCATGGCGCCTGATTGAATTCTGTCGTCTGCCATTCACGCGACATCGTGGAAGTTGGCATCTGTCAGGAGCAGCCGACAACCAAGTAGATCGATACAGGCATACTCTGATCACCAATAGGTAAGTACCGGAGCTGCCCCGGTACTCGGCTCTTTAACAAAACTGTGTGGTGGGTGTAGGTCAGTTGTAGTAATGGCTGATGTCGCCAAAAGGTCGATATATATATATATATATATATATATATATATATATATATATATATATATATATATATATATATATGCCCTGCATAGTGATATTGCTGATAGGACATAAAGCATCCAGCCTTAAGAACCGCGTACAGTGACCGTAATATAATGTTAAAGCGAATTAGGAGTTTATATTTCCTGTACTCCAAACATCTTCATTTCTAAAAGTCATGTGGTTACCTAGCAACACAACAATAAACAATCTGTTCCTAATAACTCTCTCATCTCCCAAGCTTTCGATTTTAAACGTAGGCGTTTCGCGTGCTTTGATTCGCGATGTTTTTTTTTTCAAGTTAGAAATTTCACTTTTTCTGATGTAATAGGAAGTTTTCTCATTTTAAAAAATAAAATAAAAATAAAAAAACTTCGCGGATCATTGATATGGGCTAATCATCGAAACATGTGCATTACATCACATCCGGCCATGTTTCCTGTCCCGGTTCACCTCGCAGTTTCTCGTGTTTTCTCGTTCTGTGTTTATCTACAAACATTGACACGCAATTAACTGCAGCCACGGAAGATGGGCTGCGGCTAGATGTCCTACAGGACATTGGTCCTAATGATGAGCTGTAG